ACATCATTATCATCAATAGTAATTTTATCAAATAATCAGGAGTGGCCCACGCGTTGTTCGCAGTCAAGATATTTACAATGCTGTCAACGATTATATTACAAAGACGTATTTTCCAATACACAGATTAGTGCATGTTACAACATATGGTGTACCTTCTATAGCTAGAGCTAATTTTGAATTCGTTATAGTCTGCAAGGATGACCAAGATTTACCTACATTCACATTCTATAAATGTGTCAGTCATCACCAAGTTCTTTGTTCACAAATTCTAAGTTCGGATAACGTTATGACCCTAGCGTTCACATTGTCAGTTAGATCCATTCAAGCAGTTTACAAAGACGTAAGTTCCACGCTTTGCTTGAAGCTGTGGAGCTGTAAACGGAAATCTCATTTTCCACACCGATGTACGCCGGCGCAGTCGGGCTATATTTTTTAGAAGATTCAGGAGCCTTCGAGAAACTAGAGAATTGTTGAAATCCAGAAAAGCATGTTGTGGTGATTTTGAAAACCTTGAATTGCTACTTATCTCTTTGAGTCCCAAGGAACGCATCATACGTTCGTAGGTTTCTATCTAGAAGCCCAACAAACGCAAGATGCGCTGATATTATGGCTCTATTGACTACCCTTTGGGCCTCTGATGCTAAATCCTCTGGGACTCAAAGAGTTACACTGTTATTACTTTGTGATATTCCCAAAAAGCCAAATGAAGAAAATCTTAGCTTGTAAGGAAAAGACAAATCTCTGATAGAAGTTATGTGTCGGATTTAGAATTTCGAAGAGTGAATTATGTGTTTGTAGGTCAGGTGAAGAAGTATCATTTAAAGAACTTGAGCTTTATTAAAGATGAGCGCAAAGACAAAACACTTCCAAGTTTCGAGTGTTTTGCAACGCAGTTAGATAATTTGCGCACGAAGTTTTAAAGAAGATTTGTAGAGTTCTTCTAGTTAGAAGACGTTGATGCTTTTACGAGGAAATAAACAGTGTGTGTGGCTGAACTATGTCGTCAAATAACAGTATTAAAGGAAAGAAACATACACACAAAGAGTAAAAGAAATAGTTATGCTGCGCTGCGACATTTACCAAAAAGCAGAGGTACTTATAGAAACGCTCCTACATTCTTACGGCGTCGGTGTCTTAGGAGTTGCGAGTCCGACTCGTAATTCTAACGTACCGCGATCAAAACCCACTGCTGGCTCCGTGGAATTTTATCATGGAATGGGGCGTCGCAGGTCAATCCAGCCTAAAATGGGTACCGGGTTGGCTGTCCTGTGAAAGTAAAGACTGCCGGCGTAATGCTGACCACATTACTCACCAAGTGCTGTAAAAAATTTGGGTACTCTTACCACATGCCTGATGCGCCTAAAAGTGTGAAAATGGATCTTTCCTTTCTTTACTTTAACTCCTGCATTCTAGAATTATTGTCCTAAATCATGAAAACAGCCACAATGGCGGCACGCTTTTTCGTCCGTTGAGGCGAATGGCGCAAATTAACTATTTTCGCTCACGTATAATGTGAAAGTTTCATCGGAATGGGATCTGAACCGTGCAATGGAGTACATGCACGTGAGTTCAGACTTCCCTCAGGGTGTATTCGACGTCCGATGGCGACTATTTACCAATTCAAAACAACCCGTAGACGGACAAGGAGAACGCGAACAGGCAAGCACGGTGGCGCCTGCAGGAAGCGACTGAAATGTGAGAGACTCAGCTTAAAGTATGTTCGCGTTCTCTACTGGAACTGCGCTTCGTTCAGTCAACGCTGACCCATTTTCGAGAAGCTCCTCTACAGCAACGACATTGTTGTCCTACAGGAAACACACCTCGGTGACGAGATCGTTAAAATTGCGGACTTCCAATCCTTCTACTATAGACGGCACCTCGGACAGGTCATTCTTGTTCGTGACCACATACTGGTGTCTGAGGTGGACATGTCTGAGTGGGATAATGACGACCTACAAGTAGACGCAGTCAGAGTGTTGGGCCCGGCCCAGTTTGTGATTGTCGATGTGTACGCCTGCAATGGAAAGGTGGATACAGCGAAATGGCAGAGTTTGCTCCAGACTGAGGAAAAGAAAGTCCTTTACTGCGGAGATTTCAACGCCAGAGGAAACCAGTGGGGCAATGTAATCACCAATAAACAGGGGGAAGACCTGGAGGATGCTCTAGCGTCTGCCGATCTAGTATGCTTGAACGACGGAAAGGTTACCCGAATGGCAACCCGACAAGGGGATTCTGACAGCGTAATTGACCTGGCCCTAGTGTCTCCCTCCATTGCATCAGGATGCAGGTGGAGCACACTGGGATACCATGACAGTGATCACTTTCCTTTCGTCGTCCTGGTGGAGAAGAGCAACAACAAAGGTCTGTAATCAATGTGCCTGCTTTTATATATGACCGTACAGGGTAAGATGCCATTAGCAAAATCAGATGACGTAAAACAAGAGCAGATCGCAGAAGGCGGGAGAGATGGGCCCAGCCACCATGGTGGAATGAAGTAGTCAACATGGCGTGGCTAGAAAAAAGGAACGCTGTCAAGGCATGGCAAAAGGCAAGGAAAATTGATCCGTCACTTTCTGAACGCCTGATCAGTCTGAAAGATGAGGTCAACAAGCGGACAGTGGCTTTCAAGTTAATTGCGAAAGAAGCC